TTGATTGATAGAGTGAAGTCCGGCATTAAGAATCTTCAGGATCTGACACACTTTTGGGTGTGTTGGATGACTTCTATCACACTGTGCACTGTGGTTTCCCCCAACTGCTGCTTTATCATTTCTGTGACATACCTGAAAACACAAGAACTCCTGTTGTGATCGGAATACTGAACTGTAGAACGGATTTTTAATGTAAATTTTTGATCCTACATTTTGTACAGTTGTTCTTAGAAAACAGAAAGGGACTGAAATGGTTTCTAATGATGCAGGATTTATTTTTTTCATTATTTTTATTGTATTATCTTTTCCAACCAGTGTACCCAATGGGAGTTATTTACTAAAACTGCATGGTGCAAAATCTGATGCAGCTCTGTACAGAAACCAATCCACTTCCAGATTTTATTGTCAAAGATTACTTGAATAAGCTGAAGTTAGAAGCTGATGGGCTACCATGCACAGCTGCACCAGATTCTGAGTAGCCAGTTTTAGTAAATCCCCTCCAATGCATCTAAAGAAATAGAACATAATTAGTTTTTTCTAGGAAAACAATTGTGCTTTGATAATGTGTTGGGATTTATTGATGATCGAATTGTTACCATCCTATGTTTTTAATATATTCAAAATAAGGCACCTTTTTGAAAGGAAATACAATACCTTGCTAGAATACAGTAAGCTGTTTTATTTTCACTTTTTATTCTTGTTTTGCATGCTCACTGTTGATTACAGGGTGAAAATATGTTAATTGAACGTTTCTGGTATAGAAAAGCTAAAATTATTGTGGTAACAGAAATATTGCCACTGGGCCTTGGTCAAATAAATATTTATTTCCTATTTTAATGAATTTGACCACAGTTTTTTAAACTTTGGAGGTGAACCAAACCACAGTGAACCCAACATTAAAGAGGTGAAGTTAAGCAATAATGTAGTGTTTTTTTTCCAGATCCTGTTTTAAAAAATAAAAACAATTTGTATTTAGCAATTATGTCATTGTGCGGTTGACATATTTTGCATATCTATAAATTTTTTTATTTAAACTTCAGTACCCCAGAGGCTGTGGTGGAACCATAGACTTATAAGAGTTTTCGAGCTTTAAAATGTGGCCAAAACAAAGTTAACTATTAACATGTGACCTATTTTTAAAGTCACTATACATTTTTTTGTTTGTTATAATTTTTACTTTTCATCTGAAACAATTTTAAAAAATATTCAAAAGAGTGCAGGTTTATATCTCCCCTCAGCAATTTGGCAGAGTATTTATAAAAGGCTTCTATTTCAAGCTGAACCCAGGCCTTAACCTCAGTCTTGCACAATTGTACAGGCCTTCTCATGTACCGAAATAGCTTACTCTACTTTTACTGCACCCTCAACTTCTCACGGTATTTATTAGAACCTGCATCAAGTCAGACCTCATTTCCCGGATGTCCTTTTATTTTCTGGACTTCAGTTCTTTAAATCTTAGCGGCTCAGAATTGCATGTTGGCATTACCTAGGCTGGGCTGCATGCAAATGCAGCCTGCCTAGGAAAGCCCCCAACGTTTTACACACCCAACCCTCAACATTTCTGGGACTAGTCTTTTAACTCTGGTCCCCTTTTTTCGTACATAAGGGTGAGTGGCACAAATTGCTTAGGCCCGGAGCAGGGTGATGCTTTTAAATAATATGGCCATGCTATGACGTGCAACACTTTTTTTCCCTTGTTTAGTAATTGTGTTGCATCACATTCACCTTGCTGTAGAGGGCATTACAGTGATCTGGGTGGCAACACATTGACACAGAAGGACTTTATACTCAGACATTCTTCAACTCCTGAGAGACATTTCAGAAGCACTTTCAGGCTGATCTGATCTGCTGTCCCAAGGCCTGCTCTACCATCCTGATTCATGGTCACTAGCTTGACAGCTTGGCTGTTGAAACCCAAGTTCTAAGGGAATTGGGTCTTTCCTTATTAGAAAATCCACTGCTCACAAGGAATATCATTGCACTTGTAAAGTTTATATTGCATGGAGCAAGGCATGGAAATTTTACTCTAGACAGTACTCCATGGGATGTATTATGTACTTTTTCCAGTATGGGCCAGAACAGCAATTGGCCATGAGTACCCCGATTAGTCAAGTTTCAGCCTTGGTTATTCTCTTTCAGAGAACTCTGACCAATCATTCACTGATAAAGGTCTGTGTTCTGGGAGGACTCATTTTGTGCCCCTTGTTCATTTACCAGTCTCACCATAGGTCCTTAAGTTGGTTAATTCAGCTCTACAGAAGCCTATTATGATAGTAAGATAGGTCTTGGAACTGGCAGCCTCATCTTGTAAAGGATACTGCCTGGTTCCTCAAAATCAAAAAGTGGTTTTGAAATCCCCTGAGCCTCCTTTCTCCCTAGGGTGGTTTCTCCCTTCCACCTTAATCAAGTCATCATCCATCTTTCCTTCTCTTTGTGCAGCTCAAAATTGTCCAAAAGAGATTTATCTACACTGTTTACATGTAGTATGCACGGTGTGAGTTTATCTCTCAAACACTGCTTCTATTCAAACCTCGGGTTCTCTGTTCATCTTGCCTGTGGACTCTCTCAAGGGCTGTTGTGCATCCAGCATTTCTAGGTGGTTTAGGTAGGTTTTTACTAACTCTTTTGCCCTAAAGGGTAGGAATCCTTCTTCCTTGTTAAGACTCACTCAACTCCGTCTCTTGGGCTTTTCAGCACCAGGTTTTCGCATCTCAGATTTGCAAGGCTATTATCCGATCTTTTGTTTTACCAGGTGGATGTTCAGGCCTCTGCTAGTGCCAGCTTCAGCTATAAGGCGCTTCAACCATTCTTTAAGTTCGAAATTGGTTTCCCTTGTTTTCGGCTTGTTGGCATTGTTTGCTGTGTTGCCCACCTCTTAGTTGTATTGCTTGGGAACATCCCATGGTCGTGATTAATGCAACCCTATGTCCTGTACTGTACAATTAGAACATAAGGATTTTTAACCTACTTGTTTGAGTTGATTGTAGCCGTATTAGTGCATTTGCGACAGAAACAATTGAGTACTGTTCGTGATACTTTTTTTATTTGAACTAACATACAATTTTGAGGACAAACTTTTGGGGAATGTCCCCTTCTTCAAGGTCTAAGCAGTACTATTACAAAGTTAATTGAGGAGTTTGTCAGTAGTACTGCTTAGACCTTGAAGAAGGGGACATTCCCTGAAAGCTTGTCCTCAAAATTGTATGTTAGTGCAAATATAAAAAGTATCACGGACAGTACTCAATTGTTTCTAACCTACTTGTAAAATCTTTTTCTTGAAGTACAGTGCAGGGCACAGGCCACCCTCTCCCTCTTGCCTGCTGTTTTTTTCCTCTTATTTCTTGCTAAACCACGGAGGATTTCTGGGAGAAATATGTCCACCAAAACTTTTTGGGTCATACTTTTCTTCTAAGTCACAGGAGTTAGGGCCAGTGCTACCACTAGGCAAACTAGACAGCTGCCTAGGGCACAGCCAGGGCCACTGATAGGGCAGTATAGCCAGCCCTGCTTTAACTTTAATTATTTTTTCCTGGGGCCCCATCAGTTCACCAGAGGGGCCCAGGAAGTAAGGAACAGAGAGGGATTTTTTTTAAATTGTGGGCACAGACTGTGTTTTGCAATGCTGATCAGTGGTGGTCAGCCGCAGCTGCTCACTGCCTTTCACTGGCAGAGTGATTATTTCACTGATGAGGAGTGCTGTTTTAAATAATAATCACTTTGCATAGCTTTAGGTTCCAGAGAATAGACAGCTGCTCGCCCTTATGTGTTTTTTGTGGTTTGTTTTTTGGAGTAACACCCTACATATGCCCAGTGGCACTGTCCATTAGAAAGCAACATTCTTCCACTGATGGAGAGATTATCCCTTCCTCGGCTGACAATGGTGGAAGGCGAGGCTGTAGCCCAGCAGCGGGAGGTGATTCAACAGAGAGGTGGCGGAAGGAACAGGATGCAATGACAACCTGGTGCTATGGCAAGCTCACAGTTTCTGTTTTCTGAGGCACAGACGGAGATACAACCAAACGATGTATACAGACAGACATACAGCACATTCTGTACTGTGTGATCGTCATCATGAGATGCTTCCTGTTAGTTATTATTTACACTTGTGTTTGAGGGACATTAAAAATGTGCGGCTGAGCCACAGTTTTACCATTCCCCAACCGCTCCCCATTATACTGTAAAGGCACTGTCACCATAGTATGGCAATAGTGACGGGGTGTGGTATGTGTCAACTGTGTTGACAGTGTCTGCAAAATAATGGGGGCATTTGGGGGATGGTAAAAGTGTGGCTCAGCCACACATTTTTAAGGTCCCTCAAACATAACTGTAAATAAGGACTAACAGGAAGCAACTCATTGAGTGTGTTTAAATCTGACAGACTGACTGTCAGGTGATATAATCCAATAGCTGTGCAGCCTCCAGATCGCTTCCACATCCCCCGTGTGCCCTGCCATGCTTCCCAGGCTCCGCGCACCCATCAGTGGATCTGCATGGTTGGCGCCACTGGTAGAAGCAAGAGAGATCAGCAAACACCTGTTCACAGATCTCCCTTTCCTGTTAATGACCTGGAAGAAACGTGTAAAAAACATCACTTCTGGGTGCTGGTGTCACTGTCCCCAAAGAGGATTGGATGATGTGGGACAAGCCACCTCTTGCAAACTTCAGCCAATCTGTAAAGAAGAGGTATCCAGCCAATGAAGTGGAGTTTTATTTAAAAACATTTTTTAAAGTTTTTTTGGGGGGGTGGGCTGGGGGTGCAAGTAGCTGGTCTTGCAAAGGGTGCAAACTAGTCTACCACTCCTTGACAGGAGTGCATATGTTGTATTTATTTCTGCACCCCTGTGACCGAGATTCAGCTGACATTGGGCTAAAGCCTGCTGTCATGAAAGAGCCATTCCAGGCTCTGCAGAGATCCCAAAAATAATGTTGGGATCCACCCAGATTCCCAAATGGCAGCTGGCTCAGCCTCTCAATGTGCCGCTGAGAGCCTGAGCCAGCTGCTTCCACCCCAGGGGCGGACTGACCATTTGGAAACTCGGGCACTGCCCGAGGGCCTGGGGTCAGTAGGGGGCCCCATGAGATGCCCCCGATACCTTTTTCATAGGCTTTTTTGAGTTTGGGCAAGGACACAGGGGCCCCATGATCCCCTATTGCCGGGGGCCCCATGAGTTGTCAGTCCGCCCCTGTTCCACCCCCATTCCCACCCAAACCCCCTCCCCCTGCGCATAGCCTAAAAACTCCAGTGAGCACTCAAGGGGCACTGAAGACAGAGAACTGAGCAAACAGTAGTCATGTGATCACTCAAGTCACAGTCTTATTGCTGGCGGGAGTCAATTGAAGTATCGGATTGATGCTGCAGCCATATAGTTGAGTATGTATTGTATACCTATTTTTTTGCAAGAACAAGAACAAGAGATGTTTGCAGCACTGGGAGGAAAAAGACCAGATGTATTATGTGATGTCTAGTATATTAACCACACAAGTAAAGCCTGATGGAGGAGCATGCATGCTCTGAACACATACCACGCTTACTGCTGCTGTACCTGGATTTGACATCACTCCCGCCTGCCCTGTGGATCCACACAGACCAGGAATTACTGGGAACCACCAGCACAACCAAGGACAGTGCATCGGAGACCTGCCTGCAGTGGGACCGGCCACGAGGTGCACAGCGGTTGACACTGGTTTGACAAGCGCTCATTTGACTACTAATATTGTGAGTTGCCAATTTTGAGGAAATAAATGATTTGCCTCTATTGCTGCACTTAGATGGCGCTGCTTCTCTCTTTTTCATTATACCTATTTTTTCCTATCTCACATTTCTCCTTTAAATACATTGTTATTAATCTTGCCTTTTGATCTTCTGATGTAAGTCCTAAAGCTGTCATTTATGAGGATGTTTACAAAACAAAGCACAGTGCTGTCAGGGTTAAGGAAGGACAAGCATGTGTTACAATGTACAACCATCTGTAATATCTAGTGGATTAATCACCTAATGTAAGGATATCTCATTGTACTAGGAAGTGGAAGAGGGATATTAAATGAATGTGGATGCACGCACATTTTATAGAATAGTTAACAAGAATCAGATGTCTTTTTCTCTACGTCAGATTGGGAGGAATTATAAAGCCTGTCGCAGCCACCGTCTAATTAGAGATGTTAAGACTTTACTGTGGCTTCACTTTCACCAATTGTTTTCATCTTGAAGCCAAAGAACAAGCTGTCTCTACAAAGCAGACCAATTTTGTAAAGTATACAAGATCTGTACAGAATTCCCCTCTGCCTTCTGCAAAATTGTAGTTGTTTTATGTTACATTTTTATGTAGCTAAAGTGTACCTAAACCCCTAAAGGGTGACATTTAATTAGCTATCATGGTGTTTTACAAACAATTGCTTTTTTTTTCTTTCATCCTTTGATTTATCTCAGTGCTGCAGTCTCCAGTCTTGTTTTGCCACTTTCTTTTAGGTGATGATCTAGCCTTTCCAGCTTTAGTACAAGATGCTGTAGTCTACAATAAAAGTGTTTGAATAATATTTATTAAATGAGGAGATTGCAGTAAATGATGTCGAAAATTTTACAACAAGATGCTTGAAGTATTGCCCATGAACAATTCTATTAATCATTCAACGTAACTACCAATATTTGTCTAATCATTTCTGTATTTACAGACTGAGGAAACATTAAATTAGATTTGCTGCTGATTCTCTCCAGTCTCTTTTTGCCACTACCTTTCTCCATGCACTTGTTTCAGCATTGGCTGCACACCATTGCCCTAGACCAGGCATGTCCAAAGTCCGGCCCGCGGGCCATTTACGGCCCGGGGGTCGGTTTAATACGGCCCTCCAACAGCCCTCCCTGCTCTGTGTAATGTGGCCCTCCCACGGCCCTCCCTTCTATGGCAGACAGTCTTCTGCTTGAGAGCAGAGGGCAGTGCGCATGCCTGACTGCGGCACGTTCTCCCTGGTCTGTGTAAATGCGGCTGTCGCACGGCCCTCCCTTCTGTGGCAGACAGTCTTCTGCTTGAGAGCAGTGCGCATGCGTGACTGCGCCGCGCTGGGAGCGACAGAGGGCGGTGACGTCAGGGCCGGGCTTCCAGCGTGAAGTGTGTTTCTCTTCCCCTCCCGGCTGCCGAGCAGAGACTTCAGCTCCAGCTACCTTTTTCACCCTTCACATTAGTGCAGGTAAGTTTTTTTAAAATTTATTTTCAATACATTGTGAAAACTCAGCTGTCAGTTGATCTTAATGTTATGAAATGAAAAGTATGTTGTTTGCAATTAACTTGGCATAAAATAAATTATTTGCATTTAATTGTAATGGTTCAAAGAATGTTCGGAAAAATGTTCGGCCCTCCACCATGTTCACTTCATCCAATCTGGCCCTCTTTGAAAAAAGTTTGGACATCCCTGCCCTAGACCAATTGTGGCCCGCATGTCGTAGCATGCACACATAGCCCTCTATGTTGGCACGCTAGCCAAGTCACCCCAGCATCACCCCAGCAGCTGAGCATCGGATAACGGTGCACATAGGGGCCAATGCGCATGCTTGGAAAAGTGATGATGTCACAAGCTGTGACTCATCCTAGCTTTCGCATGGCTGGTCAGTGCTCTGCCAAGAATATTATATATTATATATATATATATATATATATTTGCTTGGACTGGCTGTGATTTTAGTAGAAGCCCCCAAAAGGTAAGAAATGCACTCAGCTGCCTTTATCAGAGCAGGCCAAAAGCTGGTGGTCAGTGGAATATTGCCCCTCTGTACTGGTGGTCAGTGGAACTTTGCCCCCTCGTGCTGGTGGTCAATAGAACTTTGCCCCCTTGTGCTGGTGGTCAGTAGAACTTTGCCCCCTTGTGCTGGTGGTCAGTGGAATATTGCCCCTCTGTGCTGGTGGTTAGTCGAACTTTACCTCCTTGTGCTGGTGGTCAGTGGAATATTGCCCCTCTGTGCTGGTGGTCAGTGGAAATTTGTCCCCTTGTGCTGGTGATCAGTGGAACTTTGCCTCCTTGTGCTGATGATCAGTGGAACGTTGCCCCCTTGTGCTGGTGGTCAGTGGAATATTGCCTCTCTCTGCTGGTGGTCAGTGGAACTTTGTCCTCTTGTGCTGGTGATCAGTGGAACTTTTCCTCCTTGTGCTGGTGATCAGTGGAATATTGCCCCTCTCTGCTGGTGATCAGTTGAACTTTGCCCCCTTGTGCTGGTTATCAGTGGAACGTTGCCCCCTTGTGCTGGTGGTCAGTGAAATATTGCCCCCTTGTGCTGGTGGTCAGTGGAACTTTGCCCCTTGTGCTGGTGATCACTGGAACTTTGCCTCTTGTGCTGGTGATCAGTGGAACTTTGCCCCCTTGTGCTGGTGATCAGTGGAACTTTGCCCCCTTGTGCTGGTGATCAGAGGAACTTTGCCCCCTTGTGCTGGTGATCAGTGGAACTTTGCCTCCTTGTGCTGGTGATCAGTGGAATATTGCCCCTCTCTGCTGGTGATCAGTTGAACTTTGCCCCCTTGTGCTGGTTATCAGTGGAACGTTGCCCCCTTGTGCTGGTGGTCAGTGAAATATTGCCCCCTTGTGCTGGTGGTCAGTGGAACTTTGCCCCTTGTGCTGGTGATCACTGGAACTTTGCCTCTTGTGCTGGTGATCAGTGGAACTTTGCCCCCTTGTGCTGGTGATCAGTGGAACTTTGCCCCCTTGTGCTGGTGATCAGTGGAACTTTGCCCCCTTGTGCTGGTGATCAGTGGAACTTTGCCCCCTTGTGCTGGTGATCAGTGGAACTTTGCCCCCTTGTGCTGGTGATCAGTGGAACTTTGCCCCTTGTGCCCCTTGTGCTGGTGAACAGTGGAACAGGGTGACAACCCAAGAGTACAACTGGGATTTCATACTGCAACACTAAGAGCGTGAACAAAGATCTTCATTACAGAATGGCCAAGTATTTGTTTAATTTAGGCCACAGATTTAATAAGAATGAAAACAACTCTTGAAACTGCATTAAAGTGTGTTTATCCAACTGGCCAATAAGACCTGTTGTTTCTTAACTTTCTTTAATAGACCAAGCTGTTCATCAAAAGTTAGGAGTATGGTAAAAAAACACACAGTTGAGTCATCGTTTTACCCTCCTCCCAAACTCTCCCCTTTAGCTACAAAGGGAGTGGTTGGGGGACACATTATGGGGGAAAATTATCCCAATTGTCACATTCAGCAGGCAGAAAGTAACCCATTGAACTGAATGGGGGCATCACGCAACTGCATGAAATGTACACGGTTGTGATGTGCTAGTGTAGGGTTAAAGCAGACAGTGAGGAGACAATACAACATTGTCCATCAAACGTTCTCTGAAGAGCGATCTGAATATTAAGCAAATTAGCAGCACTTAGAAGAGTGAGGCAAATCATTTAACTCTGACAGTGCTTACAATGCTCAAATTTTATTCATTTATTAAAACCTTTATCCAAAGTATAACATAAACTTTTGCTGTTACTGCTTAAAAAGTGTAAGCTGGAGTTCAACTTTAATTTGGTGATCACGTCCATCTAAATTTGCTAGTGCATCTACCACCATCATCCCCACAGGTTGACAATGCTACTGTCCAAGGATGGCTCCATTGCGCCTCCATACAGTGGTTGTAAACCCTTACACATAATCAGTGACGTGCCCAGCCTTAGGTAATACACAGACATTAAACAAATCCTCCTACATAAGTTGTATCTGTTTATCTGCAATCCTCTCTTCTCTACATCCGTTCAAAGTCTAAAATGTATAATGATTTTCTGAGCTGTCAGAAAAAAAGGCGTCAGAGAGCTGAAGTTACAGCCTGCAGAGCTCAGTGGTGAGAGCTCTAAGAGTTGATTGGAGGGAAGAGACCCTTCCCCCCCTTCTTCATAGCACTCAGGAACAGAGCTGAGGCTGTCAATCAGCTGGAGCTTCCTCCCCTGTCACCTTTTTTCTCTTGGTGTCAGTAAAACTTGTCAGAAACAACTCATGCTGATAGCAGAGGAACAAAGCAGCAGACCAAAATGACATGTAGTGCTCCTAATTGAGACAAGTACACACTATAGAGGGATATGCTTTGTTCATATTTCATGTGTGAGGTTTACAACCACTTTAACCACTTCCGACCGCCCTATAGCAGATATACTGCTGCAGGGGTGTGCAAAATCACGTATAAATATGTGATTTTGTGTTTCTGGGTAGGGGGCATGCGCAAGACATGTGTTCGCCCTACCTGCACTGCCATTTGCGGCCACAGCTGTCAATCACCGTGTCCCAGCTGGTGATTACCTGCCGGCACTTGGTGATTACCGAGCATCTCCGACGTGGAGGAGGACTACTTTGTTTACAAACAGTCCTCCTCCCTGTCAGCTTGGGCACACTGCACTGGACATGTTTAATATCAAAAAGCCCAAAAATAATGTTTTTTTTCTCAAAATTGTCACTTTTTTTATAACGCAAAAAATAAAAAACGCACAAGCGATCAATTACCACCAAAAGAAAGCTCAATTTGGGGGAAAAAAGGCCGTAAATTTCATTTGGGTGCAGCGTTGCATGACGCTGACAGCAATGCTGACATGACAGCATTGTCAGTTAAAGTAACGCAGCACCATAATGCAAAAAAGGGCCTGATCAGGAAGGGGGGTAAATCCTCAGGAGGGCAAGTGGTTAAGTAGCCAGCACAATTCAGGATTGGTAAACTGGAATAAATTATGTTTTTGTGTTTAGATACCCTTTAATCAAGATTTAGTTTTTCTGGACAATGCTATGAGACAATTGAATTAGATTCTTACAGCTGTTTATGACTAAGCATGAGCTAAGGATCATGTACACAGAACTGTCACATGATAGCAGGCCACTGAGCCAATCAGCTTTAGATGTGAAATTCTCCACCCCCACAGCTCCATAACAACAAAGGAATGGTGATGTTGGTGACAGGGGCGGACTGACAACTCATTGGGCCCCCGGGCAATAGGGGATCATGGGGCCCCTGTGTCCTTGCCCAAACTCAAAAAAGCCTATGAAAAAGGTACCAGGGGCATCTCATGGGGCCCCCTACTGACCCGGGCCCTTGGGCAGTGCCCGAGTTTCCAAATGGTCAGTCCGCCCCTGGTTGGTGACACATGGGGGAATTCCATGGCTGCAGCTAACTGGGCCAGCAGCCTGCTATCATGTGACAATTTCTCATAGGCTCAGGCTGGTTTGGTGTGAACCTTAGTTTACCCTGACTTATGACCCGTTACCAAATTAATAGAAATCTGCCACCCTAACAACTAAATACTAAATAAAAAATGACTTTATACATAATATAGGTGAACTTGATACAGATATTTCATTCATGGAAAAAAGAACAGTTCCTTTCAGACAACTCATGCCTTTACCTAAAAAGTCGCTGTGCTACTTGAACTTGATTATAAAAGAGTTGACATTGGATGGGTGAATTCCCATTCAGGTCATTGGAATTCATATTTTCGGAATTTAATCTGCCTTGGCACATTTGTTTTTTTTTATTATTTATCTTTCTATTTTCTTTTAAATTATAAACATTTGTTTTCTTCAAAACAAATGGATGCACTTAAAGCGGAACTACACCCAAAAGGGGAAGTTCCGCTTTAAGGCCTCATCCCCCGCTCCCCAATAAGGATTGGCACCTTTGGAGAGTGGGGGGCACCCAATTTTAACAGATGCCTGCTCAGAGGTGAAAGTTCTCCTCCCCCTCCTTCCCTCCTGCAGTCTTCTGGGACACGTGATAGGTCCCAGAGGACTGCGGTACCAGTCACGATGCGCAGCGCCACTCGAGCATGCGCAGTGGGCACCTGGCTGTCACAGTCAGGTGTCCACACTGACGTTGCCGGTGCCGGGGACACAGGACAGCTGGAGAACCCAACTGCGGTGAGGACATCGCTGGATCCTAGGACAGGTGAGTGGCTACAGTTTTTGTAGCTGCTAACTTTTTTTTTTTTTTTCACCAGAGACTGGAGCCCTGCTTTAAGATTCTCTAAGCCACGTAAATTAGATATTTTCTCTTGGATCCACACATAGAAACCCCTAATTAACTGAAGCCGTGATTAAGTGTTTTACCTTGCATAACAAGAAATGTGTACGTAGGCTTTTTTTTTTAAATGTTTGTAAAAAGCATTCCCCAGGCAGCTGTGGCCAATTTCACCCCACAGTAGAAAGCTATTTCTTCATGACACCAAACTAGGCTGTTTGACCAAATACCTAGATTCAAATATTTCTGGATTTCTTTTTTTTAATAATAATTGTGATTATCAGCATTAAAGTGATTCTAAGCATTATAATAAAAAAAAAAAAACCAAACACGTTATTTATACCTGCCCTGTGTAAAGGTCCGAGTGCCCCCAGTAGCAAGCCTCTTGCTATGGGGGCACTGGAGCGGGCTTGCTCTGGAGCCATGCTCCTGTGAATGGACATTGTCCATTCATGCACACAGAGTACAGCTCAGCCCGCCCCCAACTCCCCTTCTTCACTGACTCTCCTCAAATGGCTCTTGCTGCCATGTGACCCAATAAGGAGACAGAGACCCGGGAGAGTCGCTACTCTCATGCGCATCGCTCATGCGCTCGAGATGGGCCTCAGGTAAGTATAAGGGTGGGGGGATGGGGAGGAGCTGCACCCAGAAGGTTTAAATGAGCTTATATTTTAGAATAATGCCAGTAAAATCATTTCAGTTGCTTACACTGTTGGAACATAAACATTCAGGTATTACCCGGAGTTAATGATGTGCTAGAAACAGGTATTAGACATGTGCAGTTCATTTCATTCAGAATCGAAATTCAGACAAATTTTCCATTATTCGGAGATTCATATGTATCTGAATTCCGAATTACAATAGTAATGAATTTAAATTAATCTGAAATAACTAAATGAAATTTGGATGAAATTTGAATCGATTCGAATTCGAAAACACATTTGAAAACAAATTCAAATTTGAAAACCAATTTGAATTTGAAAATAAGAATAGAAAAAAATAGAATAAAAAATAAAGAAATAGAAAACAATATAATAGAAAATAAAAGAATATAATAGAAAAGAATACAGAAAAAAACAGAATAGAAAATAAAATAATAGAACAGAATACAGTAGAAAATAATAGAGTAAAACAGAACAAAATAGAATAGAAAATAAAGGAATAGAATACATTAGAATAGAATAGAAAATATTACAATAGAAAATCAAAGAATAAAATAGAAAAGAATAGAATCAATTAGGATAGAATACAAAAGATTAGAATAGAAAATCAAATAATAGAATAGAAAACAATATAAAAGATCAGAAGATAGAATCAAAGAGTAGAATAGAATAGTATAGAAAAATAATAGAATAGAATAAAATAGAATATAGCTGCCTTCTGAAATTCCAATTTTGAATAGAATGAATTTGAATTCGAACAGAATACAGTAGTGTAGAATATAAAATAATAGAAAAGAATAGAACTGATTAGAAAAGACAAATACTTTACAAAAAATTGTGAGCTGTGCTATAGTGAAGTAACTAGTGATCAACAAAGGCACTGTGAAAATTTTGCTGAAATAGAAATTTCCAATATAGTTACTCAACTCTTCATATAGCCCATATACCATCAAAAACACATGGATTGTGGATTGTAACGTTAGAATTATTATTGCATCTGTTGGAATTACTTTAGAATCCGTTAAAATTATTTTCGAATTCGGTTGAATGCAAATAAACAAAACAAATTCCAAAAAACAAATTTAACTAATCAAACAAAATTAAATTAGTCAAATAATGAATCGAAAATGAACAAAACAAAACAAATGTTTTTATTTTGCACAGGTCTAGCGGATATTCAAGAAGATCTTCTCATGGGCATTCAATCATGGGGTGTATGTCAGATTCCAGACAGCCTTAATATTTACTAATGCAACCCATAGGTTTGGTGATTTACCCCCCCCCCCCCCCCACCCCCCCCTTCCTGACCAGGCCATTTTTTGCATTATGGCGCTGTGTAAATTTAACTGACAATTGCACGGTCATGCAACGCTGAACCCAAATGAACTTTACATCCTTTTTTCATGATGAATAGAGTTTTCTTTCTGTGGTATTTGATTGCCTGTGCATTATTTATTTTTTGTACTATAAACAAAAAAAAACCTGACAATTTTGAGAAAAAAAACTATATTTTTGACTTTTGCTATTAAACATGTCCAGTACAAAAACTTTAAAAATCTAATTTTGTCATAAATTTAGGGCAAAATGTATTTTTCTACATGTCTTTGCTAAAAAAAAAAATCCAAATACGTGTAAATTAATGTTTTAATTTTAATTAATTATTAATTAATTATTAAATTAATGAATAGTTTACGTGAAAGTTATAGCGTTTACAAATGGCGGTATATATACTGGAACTTTTATTTAAAACATTTTTTTTACTAGTAATGGCAGCGATCAACGACTTATAGCGAGACTGAGGGACTATGGCAACCATTCTGACACTGGGGGGAACTGACTTGGTGTCACTGACATCCCCAGTGACACCAATACAGTGATCAGTGCTAATGATACTGGGCAGGAAGGGGTTAACATGAGGGGCAATCAAAGGGTTAACTGTGTGCTGTGTGTGTGCTTTCCACTGTATGCACACTACTTTGTATGGCTCTGCTATGCAGAGCCATACAAAGCAGTGTGCAGGAGCTGACAGGGGAGAGAACTGTATTGTTAATATACAGTTCTTTCCCACATCAGTAATACTTGGCGATCACCGGGTGCTGGTGAGTAATCGCTGGCCAAAACCTGGTGATTGACAGCCATGGCCGCAAATAGCCGGAACTGCTAAATCACTTATATATACATGATTTGCGCACCCCTGCTGCCCTGTAGCAGTATGTCTGCTATAGGGCAGAGGGGAAGCGGTTATGCTAGCTCCACTCAGATATGTGTTAAGCATACTTCTTCATACTAATGTCAAATAGGGAGACCAGGGGCAGACTGACAACTCATGGGGCCCCTGGGCAATAGGGGATCATGGGGCCCCTGTGTCCTCGCCCACACCCAAAAAACCCTATGAAAAAGCCAATGAAAGGTACCAGGGGCATCTCATGGGGCCCCCTACTGACCCCGGACCCTCGGGCAGTGCCCGAGTACTCGAATGGTCAGTCCGCCCCTGAGGGAGACTGATTCCAAATGCCATCTTTTCTAGGTATTTCAAGTTTCACATAACCCCTTATGCCTGTGTGTCTGAGGGTCCACTGCAAAACCAAAACAGCAGCCAGGTACTAGCATAGCAGGTGGATCGAGCTCATGCCCATCTTAAAGCGATAATATAAAGTACGCTTCAAGTACTATTCTAGTAATGTTTAACATGGTGGGGGCTACAAAATGTTTTGTTACATGTACTGCAGACAGGCGGCCCGCACAGGCAAAATGACATACCTGGACATACCTGCCTGCTTCTGGGTTTAGGGTGCAGGCATGTGCACATGATTTAGGGTGCAGGCATGTGATTGTACACAGCGGGAGCCTGTCAGGAAGTCCCGGCCAATGAATCACGGCCGGGACCTGCTGATCAGCTGTGTACAATCACAGCCCAGAGCTCTGTGTTGACAATCAACACAGGGCTCCGTACAAAGGGAACAATCTCTCTGTTTCTCATCCCTGCAAAGCACGGATGATAAAATAAGAGATCTATTAGTAAAAGCAACACACTTTACACATTTACACATAGTTAGCCCACATATTTAACCCCTCGATCGCCCTAGATGTTAACCCCTTCCCAGCCAGTGTCATTAGTACAGTGGCAGTGTATAGTATTATCACTGATCAATGTATTAATGTTATTGGTGATGTCAGTTAGTGTCAGATTGCCTCCCACACTATCACAGCCCTGTTGTAAGTCACTGATCACTGCCATTAGCAATATAAAAAAATAAATAAATAACAATTCCAGTATACATACCATTGTTTGAAGGCGTATATAACCTTTACACAAACCAATCAATATACACTTATTGGGATTTTTGTAATCAAAGACATGTAGCAGAAAACATTTTAGCCAAAATGTGTGAAGATTTTTTTTTCTCTATTGAATATGTTGTTTTGTAGCAAAAAGTAAAAATATTTTTTTTTTCAAAATGTTTGGTCTTTTTTTCATTTATATTGCAAAAATTAAAAAACCCCAGTGGTGATCAAATGCCACCAAAATAAAGCTCTATTTGTGTGAAAAAATGATATAAATTCCATTTGGGTACAGCGCACAATTACCAGTTAAAGTAGCTCAGTGCTAAATAGCAAAAAATGGCCTGTCATGAAGGGGGTAAAATTGTCCGGAGCTCAAGTGGTTAATATAATAATATTATATATTGCACATGCAAATGATTCTTAAAGAATGATAAAGAAGATATTTTACTATCCAGCAAATGGTTAGAAATGTACATATTTGGAGTTTCCTGTTAAATAAGAAAACAAAAACAGAACAGAGCTGAAATGCCTCTTCAGACCAAAAAAAGAAACTTGGTAATTTGCAATGGCATATGCTTGTAAATGCTGGAAGGCATTGAATATAAAATAAGCTTTACTTGTCTGACATCTGGTCAACCATTTGTGGCTTCCCTTTTTTCCACTACACGTGTCTTAACTGATGTCATTAAGAGCTGGAAATGGTGTGTTTAGTAACTCTCACTCACCATTGTATAATGAAGTATGCATAAAATGTAGCTTTAGTAACATGGGTCAGTCTACTCATGTATTCCAACTGGCATTAAGTGGCAGTAGCATGCACTGGGAAATGAGAAAATAAACACCACACATTGTATGTTTTGTATCAAAACGTATAACACTTTTGTGTTTATATGTAAATCCAATATATCTAATAAAAAGTAATAGGTGCTAGAGACTTTACTGTACCTTTTAGTATTCATCCTTCTGTTTTGAAACAGGAACTGTGCCTGAATCCAAGACATTCTACAATTAGAATAATTTTAATGGCAGGATGTGGTTGGTTCAGTGTAGCTGACCTCATCTTTCTTAATCACAAGAATAGCATTTACAACAAATCCTTGTAGGAGATTACTTGAATTAACCATTTGATCTTTGTCTGATAATTTTCTTGAACTGAGCATTTTGACACCATGTCATTTTTCTACCTACTGCTGTGTAGGTGAACTGTATACAGATGTGACACATGTTCTTTTTTGAATCAATATACCACTGATATAATTTAATTGTTTTATTTCTTTCTTATGTTTTATAAATGTAAGGTAAATTGTTCAGAGATCTTAGTTTTTGTGTTTAAATTTACATTATTGATTTTTTTTGTAGCACACATAAGCAGCTAGAATTTATGTTATGGTGTCAGCATTCTATTCTGCCATTTCAGAGTTTTGAGGTATAATTATACTTAATTTCATTAGTGGACAAAGATCAGTGTGCTGCTGTCCCCCCCCCAGCTCTCTAAGTTCCTTATGCAGTTGAGAACAGATGGTATGTGATCACTTATATAAAAGGGGGAAAAAGGGATATTTATAACCCTTTTTTATATGTATACATAAATGTTTTGTCTATTTTAAACTGAATAAGTTGTTTTACAAGGTGAGGGTTTAAAGGCACAAAACAGCATTAAAAACCAATATCAATAAAATTACACATTTATTATTAAGATTCCCTTAAAATGTATTTACTGCAGTACACCATGGATAACCAAAAAATCCTTCCAAAACCCCACAAACCCAAAGGTCCTCCACACCATCAGGGGTTCACATTTTGGGTCCAGGCTTTATAGTGGTACAATGTATGTGTGGGACACTTGGGTGATTGATCCCTATCCTCACCTCCTGGGTACTTGATTTGATACTATGAAGAAAAATTCAATAATGTTGGTCTAAAGTCCTTGTTGGTCCCCTTACCACTTTGAGGAAGATCAATGGCTCTACGGATGTTGGGACAATGATTCATGATGATGTAATGATTGATGTTTTCACTATAGGCTGATGCATGGTTGCTTCACCTTGCAAATACAGAATATTCTCCCCTTCTCCTAAAGAAGTTTGCAAAACACATCAAGTTCATCCCTACACCTGCATTTACTCTATCATAACATCCAGCATTGAATGTTATGTTGGCAATGGTGTATGTGGGGTAAGGAGGTATTTTTTGATTATCGATGGTGTGCTGCAATATTGGTCTTCCATTGTTTTTATGATATAAAAACATTTTAAGGGATTCTTAATAAATGTAAATGCAATTTTATTGATATTGGTTTTGAATGCCATTTTGTGCCTTAAAAATCCCGCATATTGATATTTTTTACTGTTTCATAGCATTGCCTATGTATCTTTCTTAATAAACCTAGTTAAAATGGAATAGTCAGCATTTATATGTAGCTATATGGGTGTAGCTAGATGAAAATAGTGGTAAGAGCCTCAGTCTCTTATTGGTATAGTACTGGCCCTTTAATGGATCCTTCAACAGGAATATACAAAAGATTCAGGTTTACAACTTCACTAGCATTGGTCCTTGTTAATACTTCTACATTCGGGGTAACCACCTGATGTGAACAAATGTATCTCTAAAACTAGCAGTGGGGGTTATTTACTAAAACTCTGCATAGAAGCCAATCAGCTTCCAGATTTTATGGCCACAACTTAAATGAAAAAGCTGAAGTTAGAAGCTGATGGGCTACCATGCACAGCTGCACCAGATTCTGAGTGCACTAGTTGTAGAAAATTTCCCCTAGTGTGTCTTATGAGGATAGAGGGATAAACATTTTACTTGTCAAGTACTTTGGCACTGATCCCATGAGGCCTTTTACTTGCCAAACAATTGCCCATTCTTCTAGACTTAAGGTTCCATGCTGCCATTGTGAATATGCTTTTCTCTTCTTGTACTTACCCTTGGTAACAGAGTGTTGTTCTAAAATCTCTCGGTGAGAAATATAGATTAATGCCATAAGAAAAAAAAACGTAAGTTTCATATCTGACCTGTTATTGACATATGTTCAAAAAGATAATACTACATAAGGCCAAGCGAAAGACCTATTTCGGAAGAATATCCCAAAATTGATATGAATGTCATAAGGCTTAAAACATTTTAATACATAAATTAATACTAAGGAAACAGAAATTGCTCTGGGATTTAAACCAAACCAAACGGTTCTTAAGTGGTTAAAAATGCAACAACTGGATAACTGCCAAGCAACATCATATAGACACTGATAACTGGTTTTAAAATTTATATAGAGCTTACCAACTAATTGATAGAGGAAGGATGGAAAGACAAATGTCTGCCTATTCATATCGTTAGGAGCAAGGACCTGAACTGCTTGAATTAAATGTTCTGTTCCTGCCATGTGTTGACAATTTACTAAGTAAAATGGTAAGGTCCATTGCTAAGGCAGACATAATGGAGCCCACTTTCTGCAGCAGTTCCAAATTACAGCCAAGGAACTTCACAAACATTCCAGACTGAAAAAAATGTTTTAAAATAACTTTAGACTGTAACAAATGCACTAAATAATTTAGTGATTGTTTTTCATGTTGTTCTGCAACTAATTTTTCATTTCCTTAGTTAATATTCTGTTGTGTGATTTGTTTTTTAAAGATGCCTACATTTACAGAATCTGTGTTCATTATGAGACTGGAAGAAAAATAAAACGGAAATGCGTATATGTATATGAAGTACTAGTAGACA